CCCTAAACGCTTACCTCAATACCCTCTTCGAGTTATTCACTTCCCTCCTCCTCGTAGAGATGCCGGTCACTTGGGAGGAAAGTACGCCCCACGAGCCTGGACCCGAAATGCCCTGGACCCTAATATGGGGCTTTCTGAAAATAGGGGGGTACCTTATTTTGGGGTCCTTATTATAAGGATCCTACCATTTTAGGGTACTATAGTAGGGTCCCCTATTTTAGGAAACCCGCATATAGAAGCCTAAATACAGTAGTTACCAATATACTTTTTAGGGGTTCCTTTTTATAATCATAGTATCATGGGCCCCAAAACCCTGTTCTCCAACATTATTTTAGGGGCTCGTTATTATAATCATAGTATCATGGGCCCCAAAACCCTATTCTCCATTATTATTTTAGGGGTGCTGTATTATAATCATAGTAGGTTTTCTTAAGGAACCCTGGACCCTAAACCCTAAACCTTAAACCCTAAACCCTAAACCCTAGACCCTAGAAGCCCCAGGCAGGAATCCGTGCGAAAGTGTGGGTCAGTGCAGCGTTGATCCTATCTCATACTTTACACGTACTAGACTATCATAAGGGTTTAGGGTTTAGGGTTTAGGGAGCACCGTAACCTACGATAATATACCAACATATGCCATAAAATGCTATAGCATACTATCGTGTACTATGATATACGAGAACATACGATACTGTCTGCAATATACCATGATGCACTAAGGGTTTCCTCGTTGTTGTGGATCCTTTCATTGGGGCATCTGGGCTCCTGATGCCAAAGAGGAGTAGAACGCAGGGTTGAGGGTTTACGGCCCAGGGATATCGGTTGAGGGTTGGAGGAGGAGTAATGTAGGGGCAGACAGACGAAATCAAACGAGCCGAACTTTACAGTCAACCTCCCCAAGCTGCCCACAGACTTCACGACCTAAACCCTAAACCCTAAACCCTGAATCCCAAACCCTGAACCTGAAAGCCCGAAACCTACAATGTTGGCATGAGGTCCCCGCCGACCTGCCCAACCCCAGGGACGGCCGGAACTTCGACGTCTGGTGGAACGGTGCCCCGGCTTAGGGTTTAGGGCAGGTTAGGATGCAGGTAGGGTAGTATGCTATAGTATACTATAGTATTATATAGTATTACATACTATTATATAGTATTATATAGTATTATATCGTATATTGTCGTTTATTTAGGTATACTATAGTATATTATGGAGAGTTATTGTTTGCTGTAGCATAGTATGACCTGCGGCGCCGGTGATGGACAGCAGTCTGCAGTCCGTCAATTACCCCAAGCTATTTTAGAGGCCTAAAATAATCACTAGAACCGTTCCTTAGGGATACTTATTCCCGAACCTTCTTTAGTTTTTAATTACGTACCCAACTGCCCTTTGGGAATGATTTGGGGTTCAGCTGCATTATCAGGCTTACTTCGGGTTTGGTGTAGAGTGTAGGGTTTAGGGTTTAATGGGTGTACCTGTCTCGGGCTTGTGCTTCTCGTGAGCCTTCTATCTTGTTCCTTAGCAGAGCAGTGTCCTCTGGGTTACAGGGCAAATAGGACCCCCTAAACCCTAAACCCTAAACCCTAAACCCTAAACCGGACCACCATTCCCAGAGGCGAGCTCCCCGCGGCCTCGGCAGCACCGCCCTATGCCACAGCCCTCATACAAAACCCCCCCCTGTTGGCCCTAAGCCGACATATCCTTAAGGGGCCGAAGCCCCTTATCCCAACCTGAAGGCAGAGGCCATTGGATTTAGTTGTGGACTTGGTTGCTCGGGCAGGATCAACGCAAAGAGGGCCAGGGCGAAGGGATGGGGATGCTTCGTGTAGGGTTGAGAGTTTTTGTTGTGAGGGCTCTAGAAGAGTTTTCCAGTGTTGGGGTATTGAAGACGTTCTTTTTCAGGGTTTTCCTGGGCCAAGCCCCAAGCCCTTAACCAAAAACCCTAAACCCTAAACCCCTGAACCCTATAAACCCTAAACCCTAAACCCTAAACCCTAAACCCTAAAGCAGGAAACGGACCCCTGAGTCGCAAACAACTACGCCAGGGGAGGGCAAGGACGGCAAGCTCACGTTTGGCCCATGGCCAAGCAATTCGGGGGGATTGTGGAAGGCTTTAGGGTATAGGGTTTAGGGTTTAGGGTTTAGGGGTACACGGTGTAGGGGTTTAGGGTTTAGGGTATAGGGCTCAGGGTTTAGGCAAAGCAAGGGTTGTTATTACATTCTTGTTGCAGAGATTTTCTGGAGGTTCTTGGCATTGGCATTGGTTGGGCGGGGGACTTTGTAAGAAAAGCATCCCATTAGTCAGGGTCTATGTTAGGTCCGCGACTTCACGCGTCTGTCGAAGCGCTTCCCAGTGGCGCGGGGTACCGCAATCACCCCAAACCCTACGCTTTCTGAAGGCCCTACCCTAAACCCTAAACCCTAAACCCCAAACGCTATGCCCCCATGGCCCTTATGTTTCAGAGCGGGATTTGCAGATCTAATGTAGGAACCTGATTAAGAAACCCCTGGCCCTATAACCCCAATATATTAAGGCTCATAATTAAGAACCCTAACCTTGGGGACCAAATGACCCGTATAAGTAGGGGCCCTATACCCTTATACTATGAATCCCTATACGGTATATGAACCTGAAAACCTTCCTAAACCCTAAACCCTAAACCCTAAACCCTAAACCTTTAAACCCTTTCGTCCTTAAGGAATCAAGGCCCAGGGTGTCTTAATCAGGTTCCTACATTAGGGGTTGAGAAGTGACAAAGATCTCGCCCGGTTCGTTAGCCCTGGAGACTTCCAAAAGAAACCCAAAGCTTGAGCGGTTTAAGGTTTAGGGTTTAGGGTTTAGGGTTTAGAGTTTAGAGTCTAGGGTTTAGGGTTTAGGGTTTAGGGTCTAGGGTTTAGGGTTTAGGGTTTAGGGACGTCGATTTCCAAACCCTGGGGGCCTAAGCCCCTAAAGCCCTAGCGGCCCTGACGCTTGAAGCCTTCGTCCCTAGACGCGCGAACCCTTAACACAGAACCCTGTCAAGGGGACTTGTTTGAAGTAGAGTCGGTGATAAGGCGAACTCCGATAGACCCTATTCTAGATCAGCTATGCGCGACAGGCCAACCCCAGGCAATACAAACCCTGGCCCCCATTTAGCCCCCTAAACCCTAAACCCTAGACCCCCTAAACCCTAAACCCTAAACCCCTTAAGCCCTTAACCCCTCAACCTCGAAACGCAAAGACATCGCAACTTTTTTCTTGAAAGCAGACCTGTGCTTCCACGAGGAAATTGTCCTTGTGGTTAACTAAAGACGGAACCTAAAGCCCCAAAGCCCCAAAGCCCCAAAGCCCTAAACCCTAAACCCTAAACCCTAAAGCCTAAACCCTAAACCCTAAACCGTAAAGTCAACTTTCCCCAGCCAAGCTGGCAAGGCAAACCCGATCTCGAAAAGTATCCATGCATCCGCCGGCTGCCAAGAGAAATGCCCCAAGAGACATGGTTTTTAGAGTTTTGGGGTTTAGGGTTTAGGCTTTAGGGTTTAGGGCCGAAGTCTCAAGCAGCTCCGCGACCAAACGCGGTGCAGTATCTGGCGCGTTAGACCACCCAAGTTCGAGTCCTTAGCGCCTTAGGCTCAGGCAAAGAATGGGGAACACGGATATAAACCCCAAGCCCTAAACCCTAAACCCTAAAACCTCGAGACGACTCGCTGTGTGTTTGTGGCTGTTGGGGGCCGTCTTGTGTTGATGCCAGGGCATCATTCAGTGCAGTGGTCGTTTAGGGTTCATGGATTCGGGGTTTCGGGCTTGGTTTCCCATAATCCTTATGAGGGGACAGGGCCTTATTAGTCAGGATCTCTACATTATTCGTTTTTCTGGAACAAACAACTTCAAGGGCGTCCGGGTTCTGCAGCAAGTGTTTAAAGGGCACCCAGATTCGGCACGCACATTCTACAGCAACCGTTACATGGCAACACGAAGCCCCTCGCCCACTCTCAATCCTCTTGTCATCATGACGAAGTGACGTGGAGCGTATATAGGGCTGCTGAGGGACAATTGCTGTTTTATACGTGAGCTTCATGTTTCGGAAACCAACGACAATTGTACTACATTTAATTTCCAGCAATTGCAGAAAGCCATGCTAACGACACGAATGAATACCTGCGCTGATGCTTGCTGCGACCACCGCCACCACATCACTACAACGATCCCTGAAGCCCAAACCCTAAAACTTAAGCCGCAAAGCCTCAATCGTGGAAACCCGGGGCAATCAAGCTGTCAAGCCTCAAGCCCGAGCCCCTGACAGCAAACCATGGAGCTATAAAGTCTTGATACATGGATTCCGGAACCCTAAACCCGAAGCCCCAAACCCCAAAGCCTGAAAACCAAGATATCATCCCCTATTTAATTTCAAATCCTAAACCCTAAGCCCGAAACAATAACACCCTAAACCCTACACCCCAAACCCTAAACCCCACACCCCAAACCCTAAACCCGAAACCCTCAACCCTAAACAGGGTCTAGCGATCAAGCCCTAAACCCAATACCCTGCCCTAATCCTCCAGGGGTAATGATCGGCCCTTCGGGTTTCCAAGGCCTTGCCTACAAAGCGGGCCGAATCGGTGGAACCATGCTCGGATCCCGGGGGCTTTTCGGTACAGTCTCGGAGTTAGGGTTTAGGGGTTTAGGGTCTAGGGGGTTTAGGGGGCTTTGGGTTTTTTTTGGGGGGAGTTAGAGTTTAAGGGATGAAAGCGAGATTTCGAGAAGGCAGTGTGAGGGTTCGCACGGCTTTTACCTACCGGTTTCGGGCTGGTGAGGATGTTATTGTAAGTTTTTGTTGCTTTAGATAGGAGGTTTGCACGTGTTTCGGGTTTCAGGGTTTTAGGTTCTCGGGTTTTCACATTGAGAATGCCTATCAAGGTGCCGCATGCTGCTAGGGCAAGTTGTGGCAGGGCAGGTGCCAGAATGATTAGACAACGGCATAACCAAAACCTAAACCCTAAACCCTAAACCCTAAACCCTAAACCCTAAACCCTAAACCCTAAACCCTAAACCCTAAACGTGGCATCGTTCTATGGGTACTGCGGGTCAACCCCGTATCTTAGTATTCGGGCTCCTCATTCGTTAGGGCCGACTGTGGGTCCCTAAAACCCTAAACCCTAAACCCTAAACTCAAAACCCTAAACCCTGAACCCTAAGCCCTACACCCTGAACCCTAAGCCCTGAACCCTAAGCCCTAAACCCTGAACCCTAAACCCTAAACCCTGAACCCTAAACCCTAAATTTCGCTGAGCTACGCCCTCGCGACGAAGCGCCTGAGGAAGATGACAAGTGCAAGGACTCACGGAGGAGTGAATCCCGACTGTACGAGAGAGGAGACGACGAGAAGCCATTTAGGGTTTTTCGCTTAGGGTTTAGAGTTTAGGGTTTAGGGTTTAGGGTTTAGGGTTTGTCGATGCTCCGCGCACACCACCACGCGAGACGTGTGTTGTGGTGTGCGCCTAGGTTCAACGCTCCCTCCCTACCCGCCCACCAAATCTACGACCTTTGTCGGGTTTAGGGTTTTTCTTTATATCGTCGGTTTCGTTTGGGGACGATCTTAAACCGAAGTTTGGGGCTCGGTCTGGCTGTCCCAGGCTCCCCA